GAGGCGCGGCGAGCCGAGGGCCAGCGGCCCCACGAGTGGGCGTGCCGCTTGCGGGCAGAAGCTCATGGCCACGGCCTGCTGCAGCGTGGCGATGGCTGAGGTGACCTGCGGCGGCGGCGGCGGCGGGAAGAGCGCGCGGCCGCGCTCGGCCTGCTGCACCATCTCGCGGTCGTACTTGACGATCTCCTGGATGATGGCGTTCTCCTGGTTGTTGAACACGCCCGAGTTGAGGTCGTGCTGCACCTTATGCAGCAGGATCGAGTTCTTCTTGCCTGCGGGTGAAGAAGGGCGGTGAGCGCAGGAGGTGGGCTGTGTACCGAGCGCCCACCAGGAGCGCCGGCAGACAGCAGACACGTGAGTGCCTGCACTGTGCAGCCGGCAGGTGTTAAGTGCCTGCCGTGTACAGCAAGCAGCTATGTAGCACCTGCTGTTTACAGCAGGCAGGTATGGCACATCTCTGCATACCCCAAGCATATGTTGAACACCTACTTTGTACCCCAAAGCACACATTGGCGCCTGCTGTATACAGCACGAAGGTATTCAGTGCCTGCTGTGTACAGAAAGCTGGCATGGAGTGTATCCACATATACCAAGCATATATTCAATACCAACTGTCTACCCCAAAAGCACACACTGAGCACCTGCTAGATACAGCAAGCAGGTGTTGAGCACTGCTGTCCACACTAAGCAGATACTGAGCACCGGTTATATACAGCAAACAAGTATTGACCACCTCCTGCATACAGCAAGAAGGTATTCATTGTCTCTTATGTACAGCAAGCACATGGAGCCCCTGCTGTGTACAGCCAGGGTGCTGAGTGCCTACCATATACCAAGCATGTGTTAAGCACCTGCTGTATACAGAAAATACATCTAAGCACCTGACATACACAAGTGTGTTGAACATCTGCTGTGGAAAGCAAATGCATTGAGCACCTTCTCATACCGCAAGGTCTTCCCTCTTACACCTCCCTGCCCAGGCACAGCGTGGAGCCATTGTCTTCGTGTCCACAAAGGGCACAAGGGCCACCACATCCCTGACCCCAATGTCCGGTCATCAGCAAGTACTGAGGGCTCCACCTCAACCATATCTGGGATCCCCCCACCCATGGCCACCCCCCTCACCAAGCCAGATCACCATTTTTCTGCACCTCCGGCTCCCCTCCCTTGAAAAATGCAAATTTGATCTGGTCCTCCCCCTGCCTAGAATCTTCCATGGCTCCCTAATGCTCCTGATTTACAGTCCAAACTCCCTGTGTACCTGGCCCCTGCCTGCCTCCCTGACCTCCTCCGTCCCAGGCTTCCCTGTCTCCCTGGAGTCAGGCCTCCTTCCTACCTCAGGGCCTTTGCACGTGCTGGGTCCACTCCTGGAACACCCCCGTTTCCCCCCTCCACCTGGCAATGCCCACTCATCCTGGTCTCCCCTCAGCATCAGCTCCTCAGGGAAGCCCCCAGTCCACACTCCTGTCGTCTCCTCTGTGACACAGCACGGTTGTCTTGTACATCATGGTCCATTATCTACAAACCCTAACACACTGCAGACCCTCAACAAATATGTGTCCAGTGGGTCAAAGTTTGCACAACTGGAAACACCCTGTGCTTTCCGGACCAGGGCAGGAGGGTGGGTCCGAGAACCGCGGGTCGGCGAGGCCCCGCCCCCTCCAGACGCCCCCGCCCGGAGGAACCACTCACCAATGCGGTCCAGGCGGTCGATGGCGACCGTCTCGAAGGCGCGCCGCATCATTGGGTACTCCTCCAGCACCTCGTTGAAGTTGTCCACGCTCAGTGAGTAGAGGCGGCAGTAGGTGTCGGCCCGCACGCTGGCCGTGCGCCGGCCCCGCGTCAGCAGGCAGATCTCTGCGCGCGGCCAAGGGAGGCGCCCTCAGCCGCCATGCAGCCGCGTAAGCACGGCCTGGCCGCCTGCCTCTGCTGGTGTAGGACCTCCTCTTCCTCCCAGGGACCCTTCCTGCCCACGGTTGGCCCACTGCATGGTTGCTGTTTCCCCTTCCCCTTCCTCTTCCTCCCCAGCTCTGTGCCCCCTGTCCGGCAGACACTCACCCCCGAAATAGGAGCCATCGGACAGTTTCATCTCCTTGTTGCCCTTGGTGAGCACGCTGACCACGCCATGCTGGATGAAGTACATCTTCTTGCCGATGGTGCCCTCGCGGATGATGTAATCACCCGGCTGGAAGACCTCGAACTTGAGCTTAGTCAGCATAGCTGTCACGAAGTTGGGGTCAGCGTTGGCAAACAACGGCATGGAGGCCACCAGCTTCCGGCAGTTGAAGTTGACAATCTCCTGAGGGTGGGGGGCAGGAGGCAGGGGTGGCATTAGGACATGGGTCTGGCTCCTGCTTCCATCTCACCATACCTTTGGGACAATTTTATTTCTCGGGCCCCGCAGTTTCCTCATCTGTGAAATGGGTTTACAATCTCACCCAAACTGAATGACCAAATGCTGGATGTTTTCCACCAAAGACAGGAGCAAGAAAGATGCTCTTCAATTTCCTCACTATTTAACACCATATTGGTGATACCAACCCATGCAATTAGACAAGAAAAAGCAATTGGAGACATAAGAATTGGAAAGGAAACAGTAAAATGATCTCTCTTTGCAGAGAAAATGACTGTCTGGAAAACCCAAAATGATCGACAGAAAAACTACAACAATGAGGAAGCTTAGTAAAATAACGGGTGATTAAAAAAAAAAAAAATCAAAGACTTTAAAATGAATTGATGAGGTAGAAGTAGGGGTGATGGTTGCCCTTGGCAAGAGGGCTTCTGGGGATGGAAGTGTTCCATGTTGGACCTGGGTGGTGGTGCACGGAATGTTCACTTTATGGAACATCCGCAACATGGGTGCTTTGCTGTAAGATACATTTCAATAGAAAGAAAATTTTACCTTAAAAAGAAAAGCAAGAGCCTTTATACAAACGCACACCACTTACGAGAAACACAGCAGATGAGAAGACCTTTGTTACAACAGCACAGAGAGCTAAGTAAGATGCCTCAACGTGAACATAACAAGCAACATCCAAACCTATATGAAGAAAATGCCAAAACTCTGAAAAGGAGACTCAAACAGACTCAGAACACTTCGCCATCATAAAGACATCCTCTCTCCGTCCTCGTGTGCTCACTTCTCGTGATCCCGGTGAAAACACCATCAGGTCTGCTTTTCAAAAACTGGAGCTAGTCAAGCTCCTTTAGAAGAACGAATGAGCAAGAATAGCAGGGAGCCCCTCGAAAAGATATAATATGTATAAATAACGTGGACAGTGCTATACTATTTTTAAAACGAAAAACGTATAGAAATACCGGAAGGGCTGGCATCACTAATGTGTCTGCAGTGGGTATCCTTGCCTGGCAAGACTGAAGTTCTTTTTTCTTTTGTGCATTTCTGGGTTTCCCAAGCTCTCTGTACTGAGCCTGTATTATTTGTATAATCAGAAAAAACGATATTAAAAATATGCACTGTTGTACATGACTTGATGGAGAAGGGTTGGCAAGAAGTTTTTGGATTTTTTTTTAAATGAGTTTCATCATCAACTGAAAGATGGCAATAAGTAAATGCATTCAAATATCAGAAAGAAAGCAGGAAGGAGGCAGGGAGGGAAAAAGACAAACCAGGAGGGAACCAGGTAGGCGCAAGGACAGGAGCCGGACTTCTCTGAACTTTTCTTGTTTTGTGGATCTGACTTTGGAATTGTGTCAACATTTAAATGATTATCAAATAGAGTGAGACACTTTCAATGGAGAGAACCGTGGCCTGTGTCTCGGGAAACTGCGTGTGTACAAATGGTCCCTCCGCCCCCGGAAGAACTCCGGCACCCCGCGTGGGCCCCAAGAATCGTCACTCTCCCTGCCTCCTCTCCTCAAACCCCATGTCACCGTCCCCTCCTGAGGCCTTTGCCCTTGCAGCGCCCTCCACCTAGGACGTCCTCAGCACGTCCCTGCAAGGCTCACGCCTCAACTCCTTCAGACATCACCTCCCCAACCTCGGCAACTGAGCCCCCCCCTTTCCTGGCGGCGCACCGTGTGTGTGTGTGTGTGTGTGTGTGTGTGTGTGTGTGTGTGTGTGTGTCTCTCTCTCTCTGACACCATCAAGTCGCTGGCTGCCGCTCCACCCCGCCTCCCTGAGGCCACGACCCACAGACTTGGTCACCACCACGGCCCAGCACAGGGCAGGGCACATGGTTGGTGCTCAATAACTGTTTGGTGAGTACTGTGGGCTGAATTGTGCCACGCAAAAAGATAGACTGAAGTCCTAACCCTGGTGTGTAAGAATGTGACCTTTTTGCAAATAGGGTCTTTGCAGATGTAATTAGTTGACATGAGGTCACCCTGGAGGAGGATGGGCCCTGATCCAATGCCTGACGGCTTTATAAGAAGAGAAAAAGCAGGACACAGAGACGCAGAGGCAGACACCATATGACAATGGAGGCAGAGAGGGGAGTGATGTGGCCACAAGCCCAGGAACCCCTGCAGCCATCAGAAGCTGGAAGAGACAAGGAAGGACCCTCCCCTAGAGCCTCTGGAGGGAGCGAGTCCCTGCGGACACCCTGAATTCAGACTCCCAGCTTCCAGAACTCTGAGAGAATAAGCACCTGCTGTTTGCAGCTGTCCGCTGTGTGGGGCTTTGTTACAGTGGCCCCAGCCCACTTGGGCAGTACGGACCGAGGATGAATGAATGGATGCGGCAGTGACATGTTTGTGGTGCTGAGTATTAGTAGCAGCTGCACTTATTGGGCACCAATTGTGTACAGCTGCTCTGCACTTGGCCCTACCGCACCTCAGAGACAGTTATTTCTCCCTCTGATACAAAGGTCAAATTCCCCACTCAAGGTCACAGGGCCCTAAGGGGCAGAGCCGGGCAGGCTGCGTTTCTGTGGTCTCCCCTCTCTGTCTAACACAGACCCCAGCTGGTCCTCCAACAGGGCAAATGGAATCAGGCGGGGGTGTCGGGACCCAGGACTACTGGGGAAGGGGGTGCCCTGGGGTGTGGGAGATGGAGGCCCACAGCAGGTGGGGGTGTGTGTACAAGTCTAGCTTAAGTCCTTCAGGCTGCAGCTGGGCCAGCCCCTCCTGGCCTCCAGGACCGGAGCGGAGTCTGGCAGCTGGGGAGAGGCTGGAACGCCGCTGAGTGCAGCTGGCCCTGTGCTCCCCTGTGCCCCGCACCTCCCGCAGCGGCCCGTTGAGCTCCCCCAGGATGCTGTCCTCGTCGAACATCTTGCCCTGGTAGCGGTGCTCATAGTAGTCATGGATCTTCTGGCGGAAGTCAGCGGGCAGCTTGTGGAAGGACATGTACTGCTCCACCTGCTTGTACTGTAACCGGAAGGGGGGGAAGGGTCAGGACTGCCACCTCCGGCAAACCCAGAACCCCCGTGGGACAACCCGGGCCCCCTAGCTTCACAACAACAAGACATGGAACGCCCAGTACATAAGTATTTCAGAGAAACAACAAAAATGCTTAGTGTAAGTATAGCCCATGCAATATTTGGGATATACTTATGCTAAAAAAAAACCCCTCGTTTTTCTGAAATTCAAACATAACTAAGCCTCCTGAATTTTATCTGGCAGCCCTACCCCTGAGAAATTGGTGACAAGCTGCACCGCAGGCCCCTCACACGAGTCTGGGCTGAAATCCCAGGTCACCCAAGACCTTGGACCCTCTTCCAGGCTCCCCTCCCTGCTGATCTTTCCAGAAACTGCTGGTCAGGTCAGCACCTCCTGAGCAGGGCAGGGGTGCAGGCATGGGTGCCAGGCCCTGCTGTCCCAGGATGGAACCGGGGAAGCCCCAGCCCCACTTCCGCCTGGCCCCCGCCTGGCCCCTGCCGGGCTGCAGCTGCCCTGAGCTCAGCAGAACCCGTGACGGCGGGCGGGTGGCGGCACCAGCGTATGTTTGGGTGTGAGGCCCCGCAGTTTCCGGACAGCCGGGACGCTTGGCACGGGGCCCGGCTGACCCAGCCGACCCACTGCCCTGCTGTGGGGGTGGCTCCCAGCCTCCCAGCAGGGGCCAGCCACAGCTTAGCGGTGCAGGGTGATGGGGCGGCATCCAGAGGGGCAAAGAGAGGTGAAGCTGAGGCAGACGGTAGACCCCATGGTGTGTAGGCCTGGGGGCTAACACCCCGCTCCCCCTCGGCCCCTCCAAGCCCCCCAGGCTGCTCCCCATGCCCACACGGGGACCAGCCCTGTGAAAATTCTCCCAGATCCTGATGCCAGGTTGAGATCACCAGCCGCTTTCTCCAAGCCTCTCAGACTCCCACGGCGAGCCTCATCCTGAGATGACCCAGAGACCCCCTCCCTCCTGCCCTGCCTCCCCCAACCCTCCCTGCCCTCATCCCCCTGGCTCCATCCCCCAGGGGAATGGCTCCTGGGTCTGGGGTCTTTCTGCCTGAGAAGCTGCATGGACTCTCCTCTCCAGCTCCCACACCTGGGTCCCCCTGCCTCTGCCCTGACCACGTAGAATGTTGGGGAGGTGCGTCCCCGCCGCACCCCCAGTGCAGGGCTGTGCCTCCCCCCTCAGATCCCCAGTTCAGGGCTGTGACTCCCCCCTGACTCCCAGGCAAGCCTGCCCCCACAGACCTTCTCTTGGTACTGGCGCCGTGAGGAATCCAGCGACTGGATGAGGGCGGTGGCGTGGCCGATGAACATGGCGTAGCAGGTGGCGCCCACTATCATGCTCAGCATGGTCAGCCAGATGTCCGTCATGCTCTCGGGGGCCTGCCGGCCGTAGCCGATGCACAGCATGTGGCTCATGGCCTTGAAGAGGGCGAAGGAGTAAAGCTCACTCCAGGAGTGGTTCTGCAGGCAGAGGGCAGGTGAGTGGGCACTCGCGGCCAGGGGAGCCTTCCACCCGCCCACAGGTGCCCAAGGAGGGTGAGCTCCCCGTGCCCTGAGGTAACCAACGGGAATCGGCGACAAGCAGTAACCAGGGCCTGCCGCCAACTGCGTGGGGCAACTGCAATCGGAACGATTTTGCCGACAGGTAAACTGAGGCTCAGGGAGATGATATGACCTGCGTGTGTCGTGAGAAAGCAGGGGCAGATCTAAAGCTGCCCCCCTATTCACGTGTGGGAAAGCTGAGGCCTCGAGGGGCAGCTTCCAGCCCTCTGTGGCCTCTGCCCAGAGTGTCTGTGGGGTCAGAAGAGGTGAAAGATCCAGGAGCCTCGTGGACAGGCCCGTCAGGGACATAGGGTCAGAGCAGAGGGCCAGGACAGGGAAGGCGGAGGCACCAGGCGGCACCCAGGAGGCCCTGCCCCTCGAGTCCTCAGCTGACCCGGCTGGGGAAGCGGGGAGCGGGCCCCATTCAGGAAATGGGGCCACATGTGCAGTGTCGGCCAGACAATGGGCTGCCTCAGCCGGGCAGCTGTGCCAGGCGCCGGGGCGGGCGCCCACGGTTTTCCTTCGGCAGCTCCTTTCCCCGCCAGTGCCCGCCTGCTCCGTGCCCAGCCCAGGAACCATCCCAACCCCCACAGGTGCCCCTGGGGCCCTGCTCCCTGTGGCAGGAAGCCTCACTGAGGTGCTAACCTGGCCTTCACACCTGCTTCAACCCAGACTCCCCCTTCCTGCCGGCGCCTCGGCCGGAGCACCAGCACTAGGCCTCCCTGTATGTACGTTTGTTTGTTTCTTAGGGTGCTATTACGGACTGAATTGTGTCCCCCAAAATATATGCTGTAAATCTTAAATTCTATGCTTGTGGTTATAATCCCATTTAGGAATGGGATGTCTTTGTTACATCAATGAGGCAGGATTAGTGTATGGTGTGGCTTGAGTCAATCTCTTTTGAGATATAAAAGAGACTAAACAAGCCACCAAGGGAGCAGAGATGAGAGAAGAGAGTTGCCAAGTGACATGAATATCGCCCAGGAGCAGAAGCTCAGAGACAAGGACCTTCCTCCAGAGCTGACAGAGAGACAGAGCCTTCCCCTAGAGCTGGCGCCCTGAACTCAGACTTCTAGCTTCCTAAACTGCGAGAAAGTAAGTTTCTGTGTGTTAAAGCCGCGCACTTGTGTTTCTATTATAGCAGCGTTAGATAACTAAGACAGGCACTGAATGCCACTTTCTCCGTTGAGCGTCTCTGTACAGATGTTTCTTTTAAATAAATGTATGTAAATTAAAGGGAGGAGTCAATCTAAAGGAAAGCATTAAGTAGATCCTACTGCCTGTGGGTGACAAGAAGTGACCAAAGCTCAGTGACTCCCAAGGAGGGGCCCCCGAGTGACGCAGGATCTGAAAGATGCAAAGACATTGTCATGTCCCCATCCTGATGGGCCAGCCGCCAGGAGCAGTAATGGGGGGGCTTCAGGCTTGAACAGCCCCCAGGAGCAGTAATGCGGGGGGCTTCAGGCTTGAACAGCCCCCAGGAGCACTAATGGGGGGGGGCTTCAGGCTTGAACAGCCCCCAGGAGCACTGACGGGGGACTCCAGGCTTGTTTGAATCCTGGCTGGGCAGCCTCTTCTGGGCGCGTGGGGCTCCTGGGCCGGAGTTTCCCGAGCTCGCGGGGCGGGAGGCTCACCACCATGTTGTTGATGGAGACCCAGCAGTTGTGCGGGAAGTCCTGCAGCATGGGCACCAGGAACTGCAGGCAGCCGTCCCAGTGGCACAGCAGCAACATCATGCTGATGAGGTTGCAGATGCGCATGACCGCGCTGGCCAGGTCGTAGGTCATGTGGAAGATCTGTGGGGGGCGGGCCGGTGAGGCTCCCCACCCCCGAGCCGACCCCCACCCAGCCCCTTCCTGTCCTCGACTGCTTCAGCACGTGGCCCTCGGCACCCCGCCCCCTCTGCCACGCTACCCCCCACCCCTCCCAGGCCCACCTCCACCGCCCGGACTTGGCCTCGCCCCCAGCTCTACCCCCACCTGCTCCCCCTCGGAGCCTTGTCCCCGGCCCTGGAAACTGAGGGTGACAATGGGTGCGACGATACCCCCAGCGCTCCCTCTGGGCCCTCGCGGCAGGAGTCTGGTCAGACTCAGTCCAGAGGCCGACTTGGGGCGGCGGGTCTGCACGGAGGCAGGGAGCTTTTGGAAACGTGACTTCGCTTCTCTGAGCCTCAGTTTCCCCAGTGCCAATGTGGCTGCGGACCCTGCCTCTCCCAGGGCGGAATGAAGAGGAGGGGAATGTTCTTCCCTGCGCTGTGATCTCCGGGCCCCGTCCGTGTCCCTCCCAAGGCCTGCTCCCTAGGGCTCCCCTCGGCCCCCACGGCAGTCCCTGTGACCCCGCCCGCTGCAGTGATCTCGAGCAGGCCCCGCCCTTACACCTTGGCCCCGCCTCTAGCGGCCTTCAGCCCCGCCCCTTGCCCACCCTCACGGCCCCCACCACCGCGTGCCCCGCTCACCTCCTCCCACTGGTGGATGTAGCGGATGAGGCGGGACAGGCGCAGCAGCCGCAGGAGACTGAGGATCTTGGTGAAGCGCACGATGCGCAGCGCTCGAGCCGTCTTGTAGACCTCGGAGTCGATGCCCTTCTCCACGATGAGGAAAATGTAGTCCACGGGGATGGAGGACACGAAGTCCACCACAAACCACGTGCGCAGGTACTTCTTCTTGATTTTCTCAGGATCCAGGATAATCTCCGTGTTGTCCTCGATGACGATGCCGGTGCGGAAGTTCAGCACCAGGTCCATGAGGAAGAAGGTGTCCGAGACCACGTTGAACACGATCCACGGGGCCGTGGTCTCATCCTTGAAGAAGGTGATGCCCACGGGGATGATGATCAGGTTCCCCACCATGAACAGCAGCATCGTAAAGTCCCAGTAGAACCTGGGGTGGGGGCGGATGAAGGGCCGGTCACAGCTCCAGGAGGTGCCCCCTGCCAGGTGCACCTTACCTACCTTTCCCACCAGCCCTCAGGACCAGCCTAATCTGCCTCTTCATCAAAACACAAGACGTGACCCCTGGTCATCATCGCTGGTGTGGAACCCCCCTTCCAGGCAGCCCTCCCTGCACCCAGAGCTGGCTGCCCACTGGGCTCCCCAGCCCAGGTCCTCCCCTAGCGCAGCTCCGACTTCCATGCCTTGAAGAGTCAAGAGTGCTCACCAGCCCAAGAGGTCGCTCAAAAATAGATGAAATGTTTTGCCTGATCAAAAAAAAAAAAAAAGGAAACCTGGACAATGTGCCTGACAAACTGCCTTCAAAGAGAACTAAGGGAAGAGGGGAGGGAGAGAGGGGCGGAGAGGAGCTGGGGCCCTAAGGTTTAGGGAGAGGAGGCCAGGCAGGGACACAGAGGGGGCACGCTGGGCTCACAGTACGGTGGGCAGAGGTGGGGGAAGTGGAACCTGCAGGGAGGGGACTGGCCCAGGCTCAGCAGATAATGGGGTCACAGCAGTGCAGCCCCTCAGCACCAGCCCGAGGAGCTAGGCTCCCATGCGGGGCTCAGGAAACCTGAGAGAAGGGGAGACATGGGCTGCATTTACATTTCTGGAAGAGCGCCTTTGGGGCCCAGACACAGGGAGGTGGTGGGGGATCAGTCCAGGAGGGCGGAGAGAGGCCAAGGCTGGGGCAGGGGCCAGAGCGGAGGGGCAGGAGGCGGGGTGCATGGTGGACAGGACTTGGCAACCATTGAGGTGTTTAATATAATAAACCCACAGGAAAAAGTGATGGCAGGCCGCTTCCACTCCCAAATAGGTCCAGAAGGGAACACATGCCTGAGGCCAACCCCAAACTTCACCTGGAAAAGGCTCTCAGAGACGGGCCTGGCCATTTAAGGAGTATCTGCTGCTGGGCTGGGCACGCATTCTGAATGAAGTGTCCACCCAGTAGGACCCACAGGCACAGCCGGCCCTTAGCAATTGAGACAATGCCAGTTAGACCCACTGCAGGGTCCTGAGGGTCTCCTGATGAGAGCTGCCCCAGGCAGTGGGTGTGAGCTGGCACACCCTGCGTAGATTCAGGCAAAAAGAAGTCTTGAATTTCGAACAGTCATTTGATTTTGCCCTGCAGGGTACAGGGAGGAGACCCTCCCCACAGACCATGGGTCTTGTCAGCCCTTCTTAGTGCTCTTGAGGTCTTTGCCTCCCTCCCCCAGGTGGACTTACGAGGTGCTGTCCCACCGGCCCAGCCCCCACCCCAACATCGCTGAGGTCCCCACATCCGTTTGGTGAAGGTTCCATCACACGCACTCGTGACAGCATCAGGGAGGACCCTCAAAGGCTGTGACTTCCTGGGCTCTTCCTCCCCAGTGAACTGAAGAAGAGACTGAGGTTCTGAGGGGCTGGCACAAATAAATAGAAGACTGGAAGCCTTGGTACTGGCAAGGCTGTGGTGAGCTCCTGCTTTTGGGAGTCGCTATAAGTTGGCTCCGTCTTTCTGGATGGCTTCACAAGGGAAGAGTTATTAATACCGTGCCTGCCAGGTGACCCAGACATTCCACTTCGGGAATTGAGCCCAAGGAAACCGTCCAAAAGGAGAAAAACATTAAAAAGCCATTTGTACCAAAATGTTCACAGCAGCTTGGTCGGTAAGAGCCAAAGTCTGGAGAGGACACAATGTCTAACGCCACAGTGGCGTCAGCCGGACTTGGGTGACACCCTGCTTCTCCTGCTCGCCAGCACACGTGACCTTGGGCAAGTCCCTCCAGCCCCTTGGAGCCCAGGAAGTCACAGCCGTTGTGGGTCCCCTCGGACGCTGTCACATCTGCATGCTATGAAGCCTTCACTAATGGACATGGGGACCCTGGCCATATTGGGGAGGGGGCTAGGCTAGTAGGACGGCCCCCTACTAACCCATCTGGGGTGGCGGAGATATTGAGAGAGCCAAGAAGAAGTGACGTGGTCTGTGGAGGGGTTCTCCTCCCTGCACTGTTAAGCGCAAAATCAAATTATTGCTTGAAATTCAATACTCCCCCCTCCGCCTGAATCAGGGTGTGTGGGTGCAGACTCCAGTTGGGGGCATCTGCTCATCGCTGAGACCCCTGGGGCCCCAGGCACCAAACAGGACTGAAGGGCCCACCTGCCTGCTGCACCCCCCAAGGAGGCTGACACCAATGACAGCTCTGTTACTATTCTCTCTCTCTCTAATCTTTCCAGGGAAGCTACAGATGGGGAAGCTGAGGCGCAGTGAGATGAAGCAATAGGTGGCAGAGAGGGTTTTGGACCTGGGGCCAGAGCTTTGGACCCCGGTGTCACCACCACCCTGCTTCCATTGCTCAGGGTCCTTCCCTTCTAAGCCCAATTGGCAAGTGGCCCCCATTTTGCTGAGGGTCACCACCCTGGGGCTGGGGGCAGGGGGGGTCCAGAGGGGTTGAGGCCTCTGCTTCCTCTCCTCATGCCTCCTGTACCCCCATGAGGTCACCAGATTCTCGTGGCAACAGTTTATCATTGGTCTGGTGACAAATGGGGAAACTGAGGCCTGGCTAGCCAAAGCGACTCGCTGCAGGTCATGCAGGTCATGCAGCAGAGTTTGGTGTCCCCCTCCCCTCCCCGGACCCTCAGCCCTGTGTGTGTTGGGAAGGGCTCTGCCCCTCAGGGAGCGTCCTGGGAGTGCCCCAGGCCGCAGAGCCCAAGGTCAGGGACACAGTGAGAAGGGGTGCAGGCAGGCAGGACCCCCAGGCCCTGTAGGATCAGAGAACCTGCCCGGGAGGCAGGCCAGGATTACAGATGGGGCAAATCCGGGAGGGATTAGGGGCTGGGTGGGCGATTAGACCCAAGGATGAGATGGAGGATTAGAAGCCGGGCCCTCAGAGGTGGGATCAGGGATTAGGAGAGGGAGGCTTCTCAGGGGAAGACAGCCAGGCTCCCCGGCGATCCTGAGACGGGGCAGACATTTACAGGACCCTGGGGACACACTAGGAGCACTGGTGGCGCAGTGGTTAAACCACTCGACTGCTAATCAAAAGGTCGGCAGTTCGAACCCACCAGCTGCCCCACAGGAGAAAGAGGTGGCAGTCTGCTTCTGTAAAGATTTACAGCCTTGGAAACCCTATGGGGCAGTTCCACTCTGTCCTACAGGGTCGCTCTGAATCGGAATTGACTTGATGGCGGTGAGTTTGTTGTTTGGTATTTTTGGGGGGATACATTCGATAACCACACAGACCCACCCCCCTTGGGGCTCCCGGCCCTGGCGGGGCCCAGGCACAAACTGATCAATGAATGGGGTGGCTTGGGAGGGTGCTATGACCTAGACCGATGAAGGGTAGGAGCCCTTTAGCCAGGGTGGGCTGGGAGGGCTTCTCGGGGGAGGTGGCATTAGGGCTGGGACCTGAGAATGGAGAAGGAGCCGGTTAGCCAAGTTCGAGGAGCTGGGCTGCAGGAACGGCAGTGCAAATGTCCTGGGGCTGAAAAGGGGTTTTCACTTTTCAGGGACAGCCTTGGGGGGTGGGGTGCAGGCTGGAACAGAGGGAGTGCAGGGAGGTGGGAGGAGATGGAGGCACTCGGCTCTGAAGGGCCTTGGGGGATGGGGTGATGGGAGGTTTTCCGTGAGAGAGAAAGATGGACAAATGTTATTTTCAGACCAGCTGCTGGGGGCCAGGGCAGGACGGGGGGTGGAGGTGGAGTCTAGGTGGGAGGTGGGTGTGGCCTGTGCTGCCAGGATCTGGGGTGAGTTTCCAGGCAGAGCCCCAGTGTTTGCTGGTGGGGGTGTCAGGTCGGGGTATGGCCTGAGGAAGAGCCTCCAGGGTGTCCCCCACCCCAGGGTCCTCCAGCCCGGCTGAGGGAATGAGGCCTGGGGGACCTAACGTGTTAAGCAAGCAATTCAGCAAGCAGAGATTCCAAGCCTGTGGCAGGAAGCCCTTAGGAAGGGGAGGGGTGTCTCAGCCACCCCACTCCTGCCGCTTCACGATAACCCGGAGCCTGCTTCCTCCCCAGCTCAGGGCCCTCAGCCTTTTCCTCTTTTCTGGGAAATGGGTCTCTCTGCTGATGGTTGGCATTCATGCCCCACCTCCCACCCCAGATAATCTGGTTTATTCCCATGCCTAATGCGGGGTTCATCACCCAGGGATTTGCAGAGCCGGTCCCATCCTGATCTTCTGCTGATCTGCTGAGCCATCTGGGGCAGGGTCCCCGGGAAAGTGGGGGATAGGGGCCTCCAGTCTGGCCCAGCCCACCGAGGCACACCCTCTCCCCCACAGCACCCCCCCGCCCCCAGCATCAGCATCCACAGGTCCTCTGAGGCCCAGGAAAGGGATCAGTCCTCTCCCTCTCCCAGCCAGACCTGGCCAGCAGGGACAATTCAGAAATTGTCAAGCGCTGTGGAGTCGACTTAGACTCATGGCCACCCCAAGTGACAGGGTAGAACCATCCCATCGGGTCTTCTAGGCTGTCATCTTTACAGAAGCAAATTATCAGGGCTTTCTGCCACAGAGCTGCTGGGTGGGTTTGAACAACTTTTCAGTGAGCAGCCGAGTGCTTAACCTTTGCACTACCAGGGCTCGATTCCAACTCACAGCATCCTGATAGGACAGAGTAGAACTGCCCCCTAGGGTTTCTAAGAAGCAGCGGGTGGAGTCAAACTGCCGACCTTTTGGTTAGCAGCCTGAGCTCTTAACCACTGCACCACCAGGGCTCCAGTTCAGGACTATTGACCCGGAAATATACTGCAGCAGGAGAGACTGAAGTCAGATCCTGGAGGCCATTACAGACGGGACTGTGACAAAAGGCAGTAAGGACACAGCTCAGCATCTCTCTGCTCTCCTCACCCAGGCCCGAGCTCCCAGGGAACACACACCTGACCCACCCCAGCTCCCAACGCCAAGGCTACCTCAGCCTCCCAAACTGCCAGCAACCCAGAAGGTGGTGGGAAGTGGCAGAAAAAGTCTCCAGCCCAGCCCCACTCTGACTCACAGGTGCCCTTGGGGGGCCCACCATCCCTCCCAGGGCCTCAGTGTCCCCACACCTGCCCACCACCACCCCCCTGTCCAGGTACCTCCTCCTTCACACATGTCATATTTCCATGTCTGAGCTTTTTCAGCATTTAGAAATTGGGGGTAGTTTGTGAGGGGTACATCAATGAACAAATTTTTAAAATAATTTTTCTGGGGGCGCAGAAGACCTCACCAAGACCCCAGAAATTCCAAGAGGCTTCGGCCGTGACTGCTTCAGGCCACTTTCCTTCCTTCCTCTGCCCTTTGGTTTCAGACCCAAACCTCAGTGTGTAAAGAAGGAAAATCAAACCCTCTCCAGCCTTGGGGCCATCTGAGGGGAACTTTCTGCACCCCAAATCCTCCCCTCTGTCCCTCGAACTTGCTTCTCCACCGCCGCACCCACAGAAGCTCCTGTAACATCTCTCGGAGCTCCTGCGTGCCAAGCACCAAGGCTGGAGTTTTAACCACAGGCCCCCGAGGATCCAGGTTATAAATGAAGAAAAAACAGTTGCTGAAACAGGGGCTTCAACTCATGGGGACCCCATGTGTGTCAGAGTAGAACTGTGTTCCGTAGGGTTTTCAGTGGCGGATTTTTCGGAAGTCGCCAGGCCTTTCTTCAGAGCTGCTTCTGGGTGGACTCCAACCGCCAACCTTTTGGTTAGCAGCTGAGCACTTCCACCTTTTGCACCGCCCTGGGCACCTAAATGAAGAAATTGAACCTGGGCTTGTCCAAAGGCGCCCAGAGGTGATACAGCTGAGGGGTCTGCCAGCTCCGCGAGTCCCACCAACGGGCCCTGGGTCTCCACGCTTCCGCTCGGAGGAGGTGGAAGAGCAAGTGAAAGGAAGGGGAAAGAGTCCCGTTCTGGGAGTCTGAGTGGAGGATGGAGAATAAAGGACGCAGGTGCGCCGCTGGGAGTTGAGCGCGGCCACCCGGAGGCCATACAGAGCTTGGGTTTGAAGGATGGGAAGTCTACTCCCTGATGGCCACAGGAAGGGGCCAGCAGAGGGGGTGGGTGTGATCTTTGAAGCTCAGTGAGATGCTGGGAGGCAGTCCTGAGAGTCAGATCCCCCCTCTCCCCTCTACCACCACCAACTCACATTTGGGGCAAGCAAGACAGAGAGGCCCAGCCAGTCACAGGCAGCACTGGAGCAAGAACGCACACCGGGCCCTCCCGGAAATACTCGCTCCCCCCTCCACCATGTGGCCCAGACTCTAAAACCCCGTTCCTGCCTTCTGACCCGAGCCCAGGTCTGTTCTCCACCTGCCCCCCTCCTCAGCCTGTGTCCACCCAGGTCCCCAAACAGTAATTGTCGCTTCTGGGTGCCACACGGGGCAGGCGCCGCTGGCAGGAATCCAAGTTGTGACTGGAGGAGGTGGAGGCCCTGTGCCCTCAGACCTCTTAAATCGTGTGTGGGGTTGACACCTTTGAGAGGTAAATACAAAAACCCTTGGTAAAAGGCCCCTCCGCCCCCTCCATAAACAGTTCACACACATATATGCAGTGCCTGGGTGGCACAAATGGTTAAACGCTCAGCTGTTAACCAAAAGGTTGGCGGTTTGAACCTACCCAGAGGCGCCTCGGAGAAATGGCCAGGCGATCTACTTCCAAAACATCAGCGATTGAAAACTGTGGAGCACAGTTCTACTCTGACACACAGGGGGTCACCACGAGTTGGGGTCAACTCAATGGCAACTGCTGTACACTCACACACGCATGCATGCACACACACACATGTATATATACAAATATTCCACTCCTAGGTATATACCCAAAAGAATTGAGAACAGGGACGCAAACAAGCACACGTGCGTGAACGTCCCCTGCGGCCCTGTTCACAACAGCCAAAAAGTGGAAACAATCCACATGTCCACCAGCTGACGGAGAAACACAATGGGCTCCCTCCACACAATGCAATAGCACTCGACCGTAAAAATGAATGAAGAACTGAAACACGCTACAGTGTAGCTGAGCCTTGAAAACACGACGCTCAGTGAGAGAAGCAGGACATGAAAGGCCACATAGCGTATGATTCCATTAATATGAAATGTCTACAATACGCAAATCCACAGACAGAAAGTGGATGAGTGGTTGTCAGGGACGGGGAGAGGGGGATGGAGAGGGGCTGCTAATGGGTGTGGCCTTCTGTTTGGGGTAATGAAAGCGTTTTGGAAATGCATGGTGGTGGCTGCATGACATGGTGAGTGTAATTAATGCCGCTGAGTTGTACACTTGAAAGTGGTTAAAATGGCAAATTTTATGCTCTGTAGATTTCATCATACAGAGAGATCATCTGCCGCAGCCATCTAGAACAGCCCTCAGAACGTCTTTACCTCCCACTGCCGCTGCCCTGGCCGGGGCGTGAGCAGAGGCTGGGCTGCGAGGTGGTCAAGGGCTTGGGTCCTAGGCTGGTCAGCCGGATGTGTCCCAGCCTTGCCCCTAACTACCTGTACGCTTTGAGCAAGCGCCTTCACCTCTCTGTACCTCCGTTTCCTCAGGTATAAAGGGGCAATAGCAACAGTGCCCACCTCACGGATGCTGTGAGGGTGAAATGAATGTTCAGAAGGCACCCAGGACAGCCCCTGGCCCAGGAGCTGCTCAGAAAGGCTGTTAATCAGAAGGGCCTTGAAGGGGCACAACTCCCCAAACAGGAGGGTTTGTAGAAGCCCCAGCCGTACCTTTACTGGGCGGCATCTTAAGTCCTTTTAGCTTTGACCACGGCCACTTGCCTCATCCTCAGCCACGTGGCCCCTCCTTGCTCACCCCTACAGTGACCTGTAAGCCCCTCTGTATTTCAGAGTACAGAGAGGGGCTGCAGCCTGCCCATGTGGGTCACAGCCTTCTTGCTCCCCCAGGGGTGCACTGTCCCTTCCACAGCTAAGAAGAAGCTCCAAGACACCCACCAGTTGGGGAAGTGGTTGGCTGCCAGAGGCCTTGCCTGCCAGCCCCCAAAACCAACCACGTGCCCACCACTCCTTGGCTGGTATCATGGGCGGTGCAGGGCACCGAGGGAACAGGGAACTCTCTGCATTCCCCCAACCGCCGTGGCTCCAGTGTCCCTCTCCAGGCATTCAGGATGGGCTGGGTGGACCGGGGAGCCCTGGAAATCAAGTCCATCCTCTCTCGGCACCCCTACTTCACAGATGGGATGCTTAGCCCAGCTTTCTCCATCTGTACCATTTGCTGAGGCCCCATGGGGCTGCCCAGAAGCACCTCATCCCACTGGACTCCCCTGGGCCCCCTCCACCTATCCCAAAACCCCACGCGTCAGTTGGGGCTGTGTTCATCCCCCAGGGAAGGTCTGAGGGGTGGGAGTTGGAACCCCCAGGCTTTCTTCCAGGCTCTGTCCCTGAGTTGTGTGCTCTTTGGTCAGTTTCCCCAGTTGTCAAGTGCTGGGGGTACAGTAGGAGCCAGGGGAAGGAAGAGTCCCACAGCCCTACTTGCCCAGCTCTGGGGATCCAGGAGGAGCAAGGCAGGGCTCTGTCCTGGGGGCTCAGGCCCTGGGGGAGGACAGAACGAGGCAGGACAAGGTCCCCGGGCACCAAGAGGCCTCCGGGCGCTGTCCCTGGTGCTGAAACCGCGCCGCTCTTTCAGGCCCGCCAGGGGCGGCTGGTGCGTCCCACCTATACTCCGACACCCCGAGCTCACAGCCCCGCTCACGGACTCACAACCGCACACACGCATCCGCTGGCACGCCTGTCACGCACACTTCCACGGCCACACGTGTGGCATCTGCACACCCAAACACTGCCCACCGGTGCACACACATACCCCTCTCCAGTACATACAAGTCACACACCACTCCAACACATACCACAATGACCCACCGTGCAGACACACCCCTAGGGACACACACCCCCATCGCTCGGCCCGAGCCCCCAGACCCCAGCCCACCCTGCACACGCGCTGCCTGCAGTGACACGCGTCGTTCACACCCATCGGCCACACAACTCTCATCCAGGAGCGAGAACTGCAAACACCCGCGGCCGTGACCGTACCAGGCCAAAGCCCCTCCGCGCCCTCCACATTTAATCTATAGCAGCAACTATACGCCCACCACAGAGTGGCCTGCGCCCTGCCCGGCCGTCAGCGGACGGGGCCTCAGGGCATAAACACACGGCCTAGGGACCCCCTGGCGCGGCGCCCCCTCCCCGCGCGCTGCCGGGACTCGAGGCGGACGCGCCTCCCCGCTGCGCGGGGCGCAGGTGGAGACTGTGGGAGCGCTTCGGGGCCGCTCAACCCCGTTGCCGCTGGCCCCTCCCGGGCGCGTCCTTCCTGGGCGCCCTTCCTTCCTTCCTTCCGCTCCGCCGCCTCCCCGCGCCCACGTTCCCCTCTATTCGTCCTCTCCACCCCTCGCACTAAGACCCCTGCGGCCCGCGACGCGCACCCACCCCATCTGCCGCGACGCAGGGGGGGGCGTTGTCAGGGCGCGTGGGCAGGAGCACGCCAGGGTCACCGCCGAGCCCCCTTCAGGGCGGAGCCTCGCGCGCCCAGGTCACTCCAGGGCGGGTCCGGACGCGCCCGAGGTTACCGAGGAGCCCGAGGTCACTCGAGGGGTTCGCCGCCCCGCCCTCCCAGCGCGCCAAGGACGGCCCCTCCGGGCGCGGCAGCGCTACCTGAAGTCGCTGTAGGGGTGGATGATCCAGGCCCCCGCCGACTTGACGCGCTCCTGCTCGCGCTCTACCGCCTTCTGGCTGCCGAACATCCGCAGCGAGAACTTGTTGACGCCGGGCTGCAGGAGCGCGCCGAACTGCCGCTGCATG